CACGTGTCAATGTCACGGCGCCAATATGAGTGAACCGTTGCGGCACTATAACCAGAATAATTATGATTACTGATTATGTTGCAGTACTTGATAATTACGCAGCGGTGAAAGTTATAACTGCTCAATGTACTTCCAACTTTACGGCGGGTGCAACCTTTTGACTAAAATTACCAAACATTGTGGCTCTCAAATAATGAGCACAGTGGCACTTAAATTATATAGATATAATTTAATGCATTAATCTTTAGATTATAACTCCAATTTTTATTACTAACAAGAACGTACAACAATTTTAAATAACAACTAATGCAACAATGAATTTGTAATCACAAACACCACATAAGATAAAGATTTTAAGTAAATCTAATTATGTAATTAACTTAATAATATAGTTAAATATTACAACAAGTGAAATATTTCCCTAACAATGGTGCCAAAAACATGATGGGGAAGGGGCTGCTGTGGAGTGTAATTCCAAATTACAAAAATATATACTTAAGGCTCTATTTTCCCTAAATAATGCTTAGACTTTTTTTTTGATATAAATTAACAAACATCATTAATATGCACAAGTATATGCGATAAATCAAGTAATTAAATAATAGAGCAGAGTGTCAAACCCACAAAGAAGTATGCTTTCCAGCAATTAATTACTATTGTTTACTCTAATCGTAAAATTATCATACTTGAATAAAAATATTTATTATGGAGATTCAAGCACTGAATAAAAGTAGAAAAATAATGAATACAATATTTGGACAGAGTGTTTTGGATTGATATAGTTATATATCTTTTCAAATAAAATTCTTAATTGTGATGTGATTCAGAGCGTATGCATTTCTAAATTTTTGTCGATCTTGTAGGGGTGAAAAAGATATTTGCAGACCTCCTATAATTATATCATTTCCTTAAGAACCTAGTATACTTTACATCATATGTCTATGATGCAAGCACACCATACCAATATTCCTAGTTGTTCTTGCATTCATTCGTTGAGGCTATATATTACACTAGGTTTTAACTACACATATGGACACTCATTAGAGAGCGGGATATTATGTAAAGCATCTTTTAACTTTAGAGCACAAGAATTTTTATTAGTACTTAATATATTATCTACATTATCAATCCAATACTAAGGAATTAGCTATACAAGAAAGAAAAGATAAGCAAACTCATTTCCATTTAAATCAATGAAGAAAATAAAAAATACAAGAGAATGATATCACTAGCTAAAGGTTTAATGAATTTCATATGCACTCCTTCCATAATATATAAAGTTGCTCCAACAAATACATACTAAAATTCTAATGATTGTATCAAATACTTTCCTAAATTCCCTTAGATGTCACCCTACGATAGATTTAAATAGTACTCTAAAATGTACTGGAATTAAACAAGTGAATGAACTCCCTTACAAACATAACACATTGATTATTTATAGGAAAATAAATTTTGGAAACTGGGGCTGCGGTGCTTCAAAGGTCGGCCCTGTTGTTCCCAAAAATGAAATAATGTCACTGCACTATTTTTTTGGCTCGACCGCAATGCTTGTTAACTTGGATTAGTTACTTAGTGAACAGTCATGCCGTTTAACTAACAGGTCATGTCCTTGGGCAGTTATAACTACTACGTTGTGGCGCTACTGACTTCTAAACTCTACGGCATTAGAATGGTAATTTGGGCACCGAGGCATGATAGATTGTGACGCTACGATGCTTGAAGACAATAAACAAGGTCCTGTGAAGCTGACTCTTTTATCATCATGGTGTTGTCCAACAGAGAAGTTGGCATTGCCATGTCTATACTATGGTGCTCTGTGTTGTTTGGTTCGACGTTGCTGTGCTGAATAATACTTAATTTTTTGTGCCTTTTTCTGTATTACACAACAGAACTAAACAATACATTTTACTAGAATAATAACACATTTTTACACTTATCAAGTTGATGGGTAGCATTAATAATAGTTAGATTTACACGAGTAGTTATATAAAGGTTTAGGAATGAAAAGAAAAAAGGGGTCGATGAAAAATTATGACAACATCACTTTATTTTCATATTGAAAAATTCATTTTTTGAGAATAATTTAAGGTCACAGGTAACTAATGTAGTAGAAATATATAAAAAAACATAAGAATTGCTAAAGGATTTAAGTCTTTGTTTGGGATGATTTTCTTATTGTTTTTTGAAGTAGCTTCTAGTACAAAAATTTTGAGTTCAATAATTTTTGTACCAAAAATCTACTTTAGAAAGCAGGAAGAAAGTTATCTCAAATAAAGCCTCAGTCAGTCCAAATGGACTAAATGAAATCAAATAACACTTTTATCTTACACTCCTACATTACTCTTTGATTAAGGAGCAAGGGTGGATTTGTCCAAAAAAATTAAAAAAAAAAAAACTCTTTATTACATTGTTCTTTAGGTAATTGGCCCCCCTCCGTCTACTTTTTCCTATTTATTACAAGGGTATTTACTTTGGTCTTTAGGAAATTGCCCCTAGTAAAATTAAACGCATTGTATAGAGGTAATATTGTTAGGAAACGATAAACCAAACACAAAAAGAAATAATAAATCACGATCTGCAAAACACAAATAAATACAAGAGATTTACGTGGAAAATCCAAATCTGGGAAAAACCAAGGGGGAGAAGGGAGAACATCTTCATGATAGAGAACAGGCGGAGTACAAAACAACTAACAAACCCTAAGCCTTTTACAACATATTTAGAAAACAAGGCAAGAACAAGCGAAATATCAAAAATATCCTCACAGCCAAAATTTATCCTGAGGTAAAATTTCAAAAATACCTCCGCAGACACTAACTAGTTGGTCTCATTTGTCCACCCAAATTCTCATTGTTCAACACCTTATAGCCACCAACTTCTTTACTAAGATTTTGATATCATTGAAATAACATGAGAAGACAATTGTTTCGACTAAGAGTTTGCATCATCAAGAATTCATTTAATCCAAAAGTAATATAAGATTGATAATTTGTACCAATTTTTGTTCTCAAACAATTAACATTTTTTATATCCCTTTAATGTGGTTTTCATATTTCTTTCATTTAGATTTTGATTGGGACAACTTTCTTACTGCTTTCTAAAGTAATTTATTAGTATTAATTTTTTTAGTTTAAACAATTTTTTAACTAAAATATAGTTTTAAAAAATAATAAAAAAGTTATGTCAAACAAAATCTTAAAGGTCATTATAGATGACATTATTTCTTAAAATAATAAACCTTTTCTAACGTGATTAAAAGTTTTTATGAAAGATATGTAGAACTTTATTATTTCTTTATGAACTGATTTTTTTAAAAAAAAAAATTAAATTTAAAAATTTTATACTAAAAAATTGTCATAAAACAATAAGAAAATTATCTCAAATAAAACTTCAATAATCTAACATAATTCCTTCTTATCGTCAAACAAAAAAACAGACAATAGATTTTTCAGCTTCGTTCGATGGTTCAGGAAAAATTATTAGGTGCGGAGTGCGCACCATCCGCACAAATACTGCGTACGTAATGATATCCAGCGGTACCCAACGGTATCAAATGTGGGTACCGCTAGATACCCAATACGTATGCAGACGGTTCTCTCCGTCCGCACTCCGCACCTAATAATGCGAAAAGTTGAGATGAGGTACTTTACCATCAAATAGTAAGAAGCCTCTCTTTTCATGCGAAATGAAACCTTGAATAATGTGGACACAGGCAAACTGTTTTGTTTTGTTTAACTTTATATCGTTAATATTCTGCAAAAGTCGCGCCTCTACACGCCAATGTTGAATCAAAGTGATCAAATTTGACCAACTTTGTAGCGAATATGAAAAAAAGAAAAAAATTCGTCTCTTGTGACGTCTGTAGTTGTTTATAAGTGATTGTATAATTATTATAAAAACTATATAAAGACAACAAAAATAACAACAAATTTTTATCCCACTCAGCTATCTGAAATCTTTTTCGCATTTTGCCATATTAAAAATCATTTTTTCTCAACCAATAAGCACCTGTTGGATTTGCAGAAGTCAAATACAATAATTTCTTCTTTCTAGAATAATTTGGTTGTAATTTTAGTTAATTAAATTAGTTTGATTCAATGCACAAAGTTGCATAGATTATACATATAATGACCAAGGTTTTATTTGGGATGATTTTTTTACTGAATCTTAAAACAATTTTCTAATACAAAATTTTAATTTTTTACTAAAAAACTACTTTAAGAAGCAGTAAAAAAGTCATCCCAAATGAAACATAAATATAATTATTTTTCCCCTTTTCTTCCTTCTCTTTTATCTTTTGTTCTCACCAGTTACCACAGAAAATGAAAAAAGTGCTCTACCAAAATTTTCCAAAAAAAAAAGAGCTTTTCCTTCATAAACTCTCCAACAAGAACGTAAAATTTACTGCACCGTCTATTAAAGGGGGCATTATTGGGTTCAGACACCGGACGATGTCCGGAACCCAATGAAAATGTGTCACATCACCCTACTCGGTACTGAGCTTTGTATGAGCTCAATACTTCACAATACCGAGCAGTACTGAGCTCAATACTACTCAGTACAGAGCTCAGTACTGCTCGATACTGTGGAGTACCGAACTCAGTACTTCATAGTACCAAGTTCAATATTACTCGGTACTATGAAGTATCGAATAGTAATCTATGTCCGGTGTCCGAACCCAATAGCCTCTCCTACTAAAGAGGAAACTTCCAAAATAACTTAAATTTGATTCGGAGCAAAGAGGAAGCCGAGAGAAATTGATTATGTGATTATCATAAAAGAATATCAAAATGCTTATGAGATGTTTGTGAGAAAAGAATCATAGAACCATCATTAAGAAAAGTTAAGCGCCACCAATTACTTTGGTCAATAAGATTTTGAAAATTACTGCAAAAAACACTTTGAAATATAATTAGTCTGCATCAAATTCAAATTTTGACGCAGCTTCAAAAAAATAAAAATAGGAAAAGAACAGCCTGAGACGTACGCTATTTGTATACATCAATATCGAAGCAGCGTCTGATCAAACTGGCAAAAGCTTTGTTGAAAATCAAATAATGTATAATTATCTCATGAAAATAAAAAAAAATAAAAAAAAGCTTGCACGCGGAATAACTAGTGATACAAATGGAATACAATACAGCGAACGAGACCTGAACGCTGGAAGAATCAATTGATTGAAAATAATTCCTAGAAATAGAAAAGCTTAAGAAAGTAAAAAAAAATGGCATCAGAGCAGACGAATCTTCTAAGGGATCCGAATCACTGACCTAATTAGAGGGACAAAGAAAGAAAGAATTGAGTCACTGCATGACGGTTCCCAGCAAACCAAAGATTGCTATGTGCCTTTCTTAGTGTGGTTCCACTGTTGAAAACCTTTTGAGAAAGACCAAAGAAACAAGCCATTCAATTGGCCTGGCCATCCATACAAGTTTTTTCCTCCAAGGTCGGAAAATTTAGAACCTTTCTCATTGAGTCTTTCAATCTGCAGAAATATGTACAAAGAGGTTGTATTATTCATATTTTCTCGAAGTACCGGTAAAAAAACCACAAGAAAATAAAAAATTCAAGCAAATTTTACTTTCATACCAGATGTTATTCACCTCATTGACAATGTTGATTTGTATTAAAAAGAAACGAGAAAGGATAGTTTGGGCGCGTGTGGGAGAAGCAATACTCATAGAAATGGTAGATTTAGGCACTTCAATTACCACCAAGATGGTAGATTTAGGCTTCGTTTGGGACGGCTTTCTTTCTGCTTTTTAAAATAGTTTTCTAGTATAAAAATTTTAATTTTTATATTAAAAAGTTGCTTTAGAAAGCAATAAGAAAATCATCCCAAACGAAGCCTTAGATACTCCAATTATCAAGATAGCTGCACTCTTAATAACCTATCATGATCATCCAATTCTTTTTAGATGGCCAGGATTTACATGTCAGAATGATTTTTTAAATGACTTGGTGAAAGTAATCCTAAACATCCAAATTAGATTGGATGTCCAGAATAGATTACCATCATAAATGAGGAGGATTCAAATCCATTGGCAAGTGGTCGTAAGAGAAAAGAAAAAAAAAAGAGTAAATCTAGAAAATTAGGGAGAGCGAAATAATTTGGTACGGTCAGCTAAAGTATCCACGGCTTGGCAATTGAAGAGTAGGAGAAAGCTTTTTTTTTTTCTTTTAATATCATAAGTTTGAGCTGCGCACTTTGTAATTTAATACCCACAATTCAGGTAGGATCAAATAAGCATATCAAACTATACTTATTCAACAACCAATATAATTTCTCTATGTATTGTATTTTCAATTTTTCATGTTAGGAAACTTGCGATTGAAGAGGTCCAAGCTAAAAAAAATGCATGTAAAATTATTAGTTAGTGTGCATGATTACATCTAATTAATAGAAAAAAAAAAAAGAAATTCTAAGACCAAAAGATTGCATCAAAGGTTTCTTCCAAAAGGAGATCAAATGCAAGCCAAAGTGACAATCCACAACTTGATGGTCAAAACAAGGAGAGAAGAATCTTCCAAATAAATAATGTGTATGTATCCTTGTAGAATTTGTGATAAAAAGACTTGCTCATCCTATTTTGAAAAGATGTTTTTTTAATTTTACAATTGTTTCTTAAAAACAAGGATAATTAAGCAATTATTTTCATCATTTATTGTTTAAATAGGATCTTAAGCCCATAAATAATAGTTTCTATTGGGTAATTTTTACAAAAATAATTAAAGTGAATTAAAAAACTTTCTATTTCAAATCACTCATTCTCTATAGACATCCAAGGCAAGTCTCTTTAAAAATTTCAAATACCTCCTATCTCTCGACCCTTGCACCAATCGCACACTCGCTCTCTTAAGTATAATCTCTCTCTTTTTGTCTCTCTCACTAGATCTTTCTCCATCTCTCTCCTCTTCTCTCTCTTTGCTCAAGAAGACTTAGAAGGCCTACCTAGTTTGCGTGCGATTCTAAAGAACAAGGAAGATCCATCAAGGAATGGTCAGAATTGAGGAAGATAAGGGAGTAAATCAAGGGAGAAACAAAGGATTCAATAAAGATGTTCGATAAGACTCACCTACCCTACTTATTTTGTACTTGGAATTCAAAAATCTCCTTACCAGAAATCCTTTTATTTTTCACACTAATTCCCTCACAATCCCATTAATCAAAATCCAATCAATAAGAAAAACCTAAGCAGGATTTGCTATTTGTAGAGGCCAACCATAAAGACAACACTATGAAGAATATATATATATATATAGATTCAATAAAGATGTTCGATAAGACTCACCTGCCCCTACTTATTTTGTACTTGGAATTCAAAATCTCCTTACCAGAAATCCTTTTATTTTTCACACTAATTCCCTCACAATCCCATTAATCAAAATCCAATCAATAAGAAAAATCTAAGCAGGATTTGCTATTTGTAGAGGCCAACCATAAAGACAACACTATGAAGAATATATATATGTATATATATGTATGTATGTATGTATATATATGTATGTATGTATGTATATATATGTATGTATGTATATATATATATATGTATATATATGTATGTATATATATATATATATATGTATATATATGTATGTATATATATATATATGTATGTATATTCAGGGGCGGATCCAGCTTCTTTATTTAGGGTGGGCAAAAAAAAAAATTTTTTTTGTGGGGGATGGGCAAAGATGCTTAGGATTGATTAAATGAGGGCAAAA